TAGGGTAATGTTAGCCATCGTTGTGTTTCATGATTATGAAATCTGGCAGATGGATGTCAAAACCGCTTTCCTTAATGGGAAGCTGGCTGAAGATGTTTACATGTGTCAGCCAGAAGGTTTTGTGGATGCTGAATACCCGAATAGAGTGTGCAAGCTTGAGAAATCCATTTATGGATTGAAGCAAGCATCTCGCTGATGGAATCTTTGCTTCGATGAGAAAGTCAAAGAGTTTGGTTTCTCTAGAAGTGAGGATGAGTCTTGTGTGTATGTCAAAGCTAGTGGGAGTATAGTTAGCTTTCTAGTATTATATGTCGATGACATACTGCTCATAGGAAACGATGTTCTAACCTTGCAGGAGGTTAAGACCTGGCTTGGGAAGTGTTTCGCTATGAAGGATCTAGGGGAAGCTTCCTATATTCTAGGGATAAGGATATTGAGAAATAAAGAGTAAAAGACTAATAGGACTTAGTCAAAGTACTTACTTGGACAAGGTGCTAAAGCGTTTTAGCATGGAGAATTCCAAGAAAGCGGAGTTACCTATCCAAAGCAATACCAAACTGAGTAAGACTCAGAGTCCGAGTACCGATGCAGAGATAGCGGAAATGAGTCGAGTGCCATATGCTTCCGCCGTTGGCTCGATCATGTACGCTATGACATGTACTCACCCTAATGTGGCTTTCGCGTTGAGCATGGTAAGTCGATATCAAGGGAACCCTGGTAGAGCTCACTGGACAGTAGTTAAGAGCATTCTTAAGTATCTGCGAAGGACTAAGGACTGGGTCCTTGTACTTGGTGGAAGTGATGACTTGAGAGTGAAAGGGTATAGTGACGCCAGCTTTCAGACCGACAAAGATAACTTCTGCTCTCAGTCGGGCTGGGTGTTTACCCTAAATGGAGGAGCAGTGACTTGGAAGAGTTCCAAGCAGGAGACCGTGGCTGATTCAACGTGCGAATCAGAATACATAGCTACGAGTGAAGCGTCAAAGGAGGCTATATGGTTGAAGAACTTCATTGGAGACCTTGGAGTTGTACTAGCCACAAAGGAGTATGTGGAGATTTTCTGTGATAACGAAGGAGCGGTTGCCTTAACCAAGGAACCGAGGGATCATGACAGATCTCGACATATCGACAGAAAATATCATTTTATCAGACATTGTGTAGAAGAAGGACTCCTCGTAGTCAAGAGGGTATCGTCAGAAGAGAATCCTGCAGATCCCCTCACAAAGGGTCTGAGTAGGATTAAGCATGTTCAGCATGCGAGGAGCATTGAGCTGAAGGACGATATTAGTTTTAGTGATTAGATAGATACTTAGAAACTTGTAACAATATAAATGTAATTGACATTTGATGATTAAGTAATGGAAGATTTATTTATGAGTAAAGTTTACTATATTTTGTCAATTATTTATTTTGTGTTTCAATTTTGCATGTTTTACTTCCTAAATAATTGGATTGTTCAAATTATCCATAGTCGTTCATACTTTGGAAGTAAGTAATGAGGCAAGATTGTCATGAATTGGCTTCTAGATTGTCTAAGTGCTTAGACATGGCAAAGGTTTGTTGCAACGTTCATGAGTATTCCTGAAATAGGGTTTGAGTATTGGATTAAACCCACGCTCATTTGAATCACTTCATGGAATTTATCACGAGTGATTGTGAGACGATAATATTGTATAATCTTTAAACCGAGATATATGAGTTGTTGTTTACGAGTTGGTTGTGCATTGATAATGCGTAAACGCATCAGTAACTTGATGTTATAAAATGTATTGTTGTGTGCGATTTGATGAGTAAATAGTACAAACATATAAGTCAAAGTTTATATGTACCTTTTATCCCAAGGGGTAAAAGCGATATCTTGGGCCCCTCGATGATTTTGTGTTGACTTATGTGTCGGGCCCGGTCAGGACTGAATTGATGTGTTCAATTAAGTTCCTTGTCAAACAAATCAGACATCAGGAAAGAAACTATTGGAGATTGAGAATGATTCTGTTCCATGTCATTGTCCACACGATATCTTGTAGAACAAAAGATTATATGATCCCTTATCTAAAGGACGCGTCATTGACCAGGTCAGAGTTCGACAACTGATTTTGAAAGCTACGATTGTTAATCAGATTCTGAAGTCATACTTGCAATTTTAGTTATTAGACTTATCCAAGTGGGAGACTGTTGGATTAGGTGTCTAATCCCATAACTATAATTGTTATGTACTTGATTTGATAGTAGCATGGTCCTTTTGGGTTGCCTTCACCATAGCAACTTGACAGGATGATTTTTGGAGAAAGAGGTTAATAAATGATTTATTGATATATTATAAGAATAATATATTAATTAGAAATCATATTATTCAATTAGTATTAATCAGAAATTAATCTGGAATTATTTTTGGGATTAAAGGAACTGACTGAAAGTACGAGGACTGGTTTTGCAAATCAATGATAGTTGCAAAGTTGGGCTGATGGACTCCTTTACATGGAGTGGACGAATTCTATAGGAGGCCCTATAGAATTTCGTCCAAGGCTTCTAGGAAGGAGGTCCATGGACTGCTTAAGGCCTAAGCAATCAGATTAGGGTTTCCACCTGAAAACTCTAACAGCCTCAGTTATATAAAGAACCCCTTGGCATGTGATTTTGGGCCTATGCATTCTAAGAGAAACCCTAGCCGAAAATCATAGTGTTCTATCCTCTCTCTCACTCATCCTTTGCTTTTGGTGTTTGTAATTCCATTAGAGGTGCAACACGTGAGGCACTCAAGCTTTCAAGAGTCAAGATCATCCGTGGATTACTTGTTATTACGAGATAACAAGAAAGGTAACAATCAAACCCTAGTTTCATATTGAATTTCAAAATTATATGCTAGTATTAGGGTTATTGCTTTGGAAGATCTATTTGTATGTATAACTAGAGAAAAACTTAGATCCAAAGCAATTAGGGTTGCATGAACACATAGGAATGTTGTTATGCTCAAAACCCATCACTTTCTTGGTATTACAGTCACGCATGACAGTCATGGGAGGTTTTTATCCTAACGGAAGTATGCGTTCGGGATTCTTGACCATGCACACATGTTTAATTGTAAGCCAGCTCTTACTCCAGCCGACACATCTGCCAAATTTGATGGCTCCGGCCCTCCGGTTCAGGATCCGACTCTCTAACGCAGTCTTGCCAGTGCTCTTCAGTATTTGACTTTCATGTGCCCTGATATTTCTTATGGTGCTTAGCAGGTGTGCCTTTACATGCATGACCCACGGGAGCCTCATTTCTCCGCTCCTAAACCTATTCTTTGATACTTATAGGGAACTCTAGATCACGGCTTACAGCTGTACGCATCTCCTTCTTCTGGACTTGTCTCATACTCTGATGTTGATTGAGCTGGTTGTCCTTCCATTAGGCGATCTACATTCGACTACTGTATTTTCTTGGGTCAGAATCTTCTTTCTTGGTCATCTAAACGATAAACCACCATTTCACGGTCCAATGTCGAGGCTGAATATCGTGGCGTTGTGAATACCGTTTCTAAGACTAGTTGGGTTCACAACCTTCTTCGGGAGCTTCATCATCCACCTCGCACTGCCACTCTTGTCTATTGTGACAATGTCAGTGTTGTTTATCTATCTACCAACCCGGTTCAACATCAACGCACCAAACACATCGAGATTGACCTTCATTTTGTGTGTGATTAGGTGGCGTTGGGTCAGGTTCGTGTTCTTCACGTCCCTTCGTCGTCTCAGTATGCTGACATCTTCACCAAAGGGCTCCCGTCTACTATATTTCTTGACTTCAGATCCAGTCTGAACGTACGCACGAGACCTCCCGTTCCGACTGCAGGGGGATGTTAGCACTATTATTATATTATTATGGTGTATAGATATATAATCTATTATGTATTTAGCCCATTGTATTTGATACTTGGCCCACTTTGTAATGTTTGATTATATAATAATTTATGGAGGCTATACGCCTCTTCCATAGGAGAATATACTCTGTAACACTCGTATACCTTTTTGACAAATTATTTTATTATTAAACTATTTTATGTGTCGGGACGTTTTCTGCATAAAATTTGGTTTTTTAGTTATTTTTAAAGAATTATACAAGACTATTTCAAACTCTCCATACAGAGGATGTTGCAAAGATCCTTATATTTTAGTCATTTGTGTGATTAACCTTATAAATAATAGATTATGAACATGAAATGGAATAAAAACAAGCTTAGAGAGACATTGTACTATAGATCAACCATATAACATATAAGCTAAAACCGATCAAACATACATTGAGAGGATCAAATTCCTTGGCTTAGGATGAACTTTGGTTGATGTGGTGTAGAATTCTATATAAACTTTAGGATAAAAATTACCTTCCCTTACATTGTAGTTGTTATCACTACTACCTTGTAACAATTTTAAGTTTTCATGTTCGAGCTTGTCCTAATTGTGCAACCAACCAGGTTTATATGACAATGACAATTTTCAACCCGTTATGAGTATGCATATACTCCAATGTAAACTCAATTAAATAACAATGTAAGGGTGAACAAAAAACCAGAAAACCAAACGTATAAGAACCGAAAACGAAATGATTTCTAAAACCAACAAAAAAACCTATACGTTTTGGATTCACTTTCACCCCAAAATCGACATATATTGACCCATACTAAACCTCACGTGAACCCATTGGAGTGCTCTTTTTTAAAATAACCATAAAATGTTAATGCTTAATAAGAAATTCTTACTTTGGTTGGACTCGAAAAGTGAAAAGTTTTTTTTTTATAATTTTTGCCATGTTTTTTCAAATATAAGTTTTTGTAATTAGATGTAATAATTAGTTATTTAAAAGAAATGAAAAATAAAAAATTGTCAACGATTAACCAACCGGAACCGATCAATAGACAATACAATAGTTAAACAAACCTTGTTTAACTCGAAGACATTTTTTTAACCACTTGTATCAAATAACTGTATCTTGTTTATAAAGATTTCCTGTTCCACTCCACACTTCCACACAATAAAATCTATCAATCTGGGTTTTCTGAAATCCCAGCTGTCTTTCGAGTGAATGAGTTACTGATAGACTCGCCCCAAGATCTGCTCCGCCGACAACTCGATTCATTCCATTCCGCCATGGATCCCGATGAGTGATGACATTGACACTCTGCATCACCCCCAAAATCCATACCCTCCTGCTCACTTGTCGAAATCCCAATTCAAACTCTCTTGATTCTTTTTCTTTCTGACATCAAATTGTTCGCTATACACAGAGACATTCCAACATTCGTCATCTCATTCTGAATCGAAATGGGTAGTTTTGCGTGGTCGACATCAGCCTTCGATTTGAAGTCAGGGCAGACGATACTGTTGGCTCTTCTAGTAATAATATTTTTTTTCTACAGCGGCACCTTTTTTGGCCGAAATTCCTCGCTTTATATAAACCAACTTGCTTTGAATTCATCATCATCGAAATCACCAGGTACCCTTTTCTTGTTTGCTCCATTTTTTGTACTAATTACTTAGAATTTCGATCAAGAACAAGTTGTTATACTCTCTATTTCTATTATTTAGCTTAAACAATTGAGCAGAATGGTTGTGTTCGTTTTGTAAATTTACTAAATACCGAGATGGGTATGTAGATCTCATTTGGAATCATGCCTTGCATATGATCTAGTGAGGTTTTGGGATCTGAATCACGCAGAATTCATGTTGCAACGTACATTGTTTCTGCTGAAAGCAGTTTATGAACTTTTACCAGCTCAAAGTTCAAACCTTTTATGCTTGCAGGTAACCCTACATTTAGCAATACAGTCACTCTTACTCATCGACAGTCGCCACTTACAATTCCAGAAACGGGAATGAACATATGCCCTATAGAATTCAACGAACATATACCTTGCCATGATCCTTCATACATCAATACATTACTTCCACAATTAGATCTCTCCAAGCGAGAAGATTTAGAAAGACATTGCCCCCCATTACAAAAACGCTTATTTTGCTTGATACCTCCACCACTTGATTACAAAATACCCATAACATGGCCAACCAGTCGAGACTATGTATGGAGGAGCAATGTGAATCACACACATCTTGCAGAAGTAAAAGGAGGGCAAAATTGGGTTCATGAGAAAGATCAATTATGGTGGTTTCCAGGTGGTGGTACCCATTTTAAACATGGAGCTACTGAATACATTGAGAGGTACAATACACTAAGGCTAAATAGGTAATTTTACATTTATCTCAGTTACGGTTTCCAATTTATGCAGATTAGGGAATATGACTACAAATGAGACAGGTGATCTTCGTTCATCTGGAGTATATCAAGTTCTTGATGTTGGTTGTGGGGTTGCAAGTTTTTCTGCTTATCTTCTTCCATTAAATATACAAACAATGTCATTTGCTCCAAAAGATGGACACGAAAATCAAATTCAATTTGCTTTGGAACGTGGGATTGGTGCTATGATATCTGCTTTAGCTACAAAACAGCTTCCATACCCAAGTCACTCATTCGAAATGGTTCACTGTTCAAGGTGCCGTGTTGATTGGCATGAAAATGGTAATCTTTGCATTAAAACCCCATTTTTTAAAAAGATTCTTATGACTGAAAGATTGATTGATGTGATTTTGAATGATATGTGCAGATGGGATTCTTTTGAAAGAAGTAAACAGGCTTCTTAGGCCGAATGGTTACTTTGTGTATTCGGCTCCTCCGGCATATAGAAAGGACAAAGATTTTCCAATGATATGGGAGAAATTGGTGAACATAACTTCTGGAATGTGCTGGAAGCTTATTGATAGGAAGATTCAAACAGCAATTTGGATTAAAGATGTTAGTCAATCGTGTCTTGAAAGCAATGCACAGCAGAATCTTGTAAAGATTTGTGATTCTGTTAATGATCCTAAGCCCTCATGGAAAACACCACTCAGGAACTGTGTTTCACCAAGTAACACGGTTCCCAAGTTCCAAAAACTCCCTCCTAGGCCTCAACGCCTTTCAGTATATTCAGAAAGTCTCAATGATTTAGGTTTGTCTGGAATCCCAAACTTTTTATCTGTCACTGTCACTGTCACTGTCACTGATTTTATACTAAAAATTATAACCGTCTATTGGTTGCAGGTATCACTCAAGAAATGTTTCTTTCGGATACGCTTTACTGGCATGATCAAGTTCGTCATTATTGGAGACTAATGAATGCTGACGTGGCATCTGTACGAAATGTTATGGACATGAATGCCCTTTATGGTGGATTTGCAGTTGCCTTTAGTACTTGGCCTGTTTGGGTGATGAATGTTGTCCCTGCAACAATGAATGACACTTTGTCTGCTATTTATGCCCGGGGTCTCATTGGTGCTTTCCATGACTGGTGAGTCAAAATAAGGACTAAATGTGATAAGCTTTACCATGTTTTTTTTTAATTTATAATTGTAGACATGATGCTATTTTACACATTGTTGTTTGTAGGTGTGAGCCATTTTCTTCATATCCACGCACATATGATTTGGTGCATGCGAATTATCTCTTTTCTCACTATTCAAAACAAGATGATCGATGCTTGTTGGAAGATATCATGCTAGAGATGGATCGTCTTGTTCGGCCTCAGGTAACCTTTTTTTTTTCATGCTAAAATTACCCATTTACCCCTAAAGATCGTTACAAATGTAATTAGAAACTTCGTGTATGTATGCATGCATTGCAGGGGTTTATCATTATCAGAGATGTTGGATTGATTATATCAAGAATAACGGATCTTGCACCCAAGTTTCTTTGGGATGTTACTTCACATGTTCTAGAAAGTCCTCAAGGGGTATCAGAACCGGTTTTAATTTGCCAAAAGAAGTTCTGGGCAATCGTTTGATGTTGATATAATGTTAATTACAGTTTCAAATTCTTTAAATATGATAGTTTTGATTGTGTAATGAGGCTGTATGCCTCCGCATTGTAGATTAGTTAATTTATACCATTCATTCTTTTGTTCATTGTAAATCTTGAACGAGTCTGTTCTTGATCTTTCTGTTAGACGACCATGTAAATGGAGCTTATTCCTACATGGTGATGTAATGATGTTACTATTATTATCAGCTTATGTACAACAATGTAATCACTTTCTTGTTTTTGATATCTAATGTAAGTTATTATTTCTTTTTAGCTTGGTGTACTTATAAGAGAACAAGATTTTGGAGTTTTTTCCCCATTAAAGTAAGAGGCTGCATGAGTAATGATGTGTTTGATAAAATGTTATATAGTTTCTTTTTCTAGATAAAATAAATTGTAACCGTGTCAATAAGACTAAATGACCATTTTACTCTTACTTTCCAAAAAAACAAATTTCTAGTATTAATCATTTATATCAATAATCGTCAATTTTAAACGTAAGGGGAAAAAGAAGAGCAAATAGGTAAAATGCTAGTGTCTTAATACATTAAGACATGTTTTTTAGCTTAACACATTAAGTCATTTTGTATAGTAGTCCAATTGCCCCAGTTAAACGTTTAACATTAAATTGAAAAGAAATTTTAATTTAGTAAACTAAATATGGATGTTTTCTTTTGACATAATATAATGCACAAACAACAACTTAATTGAGTCAATCGGTCCATATAATAAGGATACAAAATGTGTGAGAAAGAGGCAAGTTATGATGCATGACAAATTTGATGGATTTATTGCATCATACCAACACCAACAGTATAACATGACACAAGAGTATTATTAGATATTTTCTTTAATTATATGATCAAAGATCGGTTTCAGGGTCTACCAACAACCCCGAATTTACAATGAAGCAAAGATCATTTTTTTCACAAGTAAACTAAGTAACAGGAGAAGTAAAATGCCTACACATATGAAGTTTACCAACATGGATACAAGCTCAGGTCTTTAAATATGTAGCAAATTGCCATGTCATCGGTCTTCTCGTTTTGTCAAAGAAGACGTTTTGTATCGGCATATGCTTTTCACTATCGCCAGCATCATCAACAATGTCATCTTTGTTCAACAAGAACTCTTAAAACCCTCATAGCAGCAAATTTGGCATGATCACCATACACCAATAATAATTCAATGTTTAGGAGTGAAAAGCACCTAAATTACAAGTAAATTAAAGGATTTTTCTAGGGAAAATGTTACAGAAGTGATGCTTAATTTGATAAACAGAGTAGATTACGAAGCTCAAGAAAGTACCCAAATTCAATCATCCCCAATTGGGAACAATGTCAGAGCCTTTTTCTCTTTTGCAGATTCCAGATCATCCATGTAAGAATTATGAACAGGAGTCCCTACCCTGTGAAGAGGTTGATTCGATTGTCTGCTCAAAAACTGATGATTGGACTGCCCATTAGTGACCGACCCAAAATGGCCCACATGCCGATGGAGATGATGCCCTGCGACGGCCGCCATCTGTTGGTGGTGATGTTGCTGTTGAAGTGCGGCCACCGGCATATATGGCAGGAAATTGTCGGAATTGGGGTGAGATTGATGGAGAAAATGAGGTGGCACTGGTGAACTTGCAAACAAATGGTCGGTAGCGGGGTCTCCGCCAGACCCAAATCCACCAGCACCATTGCCACCGCCACCGGAAGACAAACCCTGCATACGTTTCAAGTAAAGCCTGTATTTTTGGAGGTGACTCGCGACGTTTTCTCGAGTCAACCCGTCAACACTCATGAGCTGCATTATGGTTTTGGGGACGGCGTTCTTGATCCCCAAATGAGCAACAGCGTCCACGAATCGCTTGTGGAGTTGCGGAGTCCAGACGAGACGAGGACGCTTTAAGGTGCGAGCCGGCTCATCACCACCACCACCAAGCTCAGATGAATCGAATTCCCCCGAATTTGGCTGTGACGAAGGGGTTGAAATCGCCGGCGGTTGTTGGTGGTGTTGGAGTGACTGATGATGGTGGTTGAGTGGGATTTGGGAACTTCCGATATCGAAGGCGATCGCAAGATCAGGTGTGATTAGGGTTTGAGATAAGGGTATAAGCTCTTCTGGCTTCGGCAGTTCTTCTTCCCACTTTGAGAACCAATTAGATTCATCTTCCTTCATCTCCGGTTATCAAATCAAAACCCAGATAGCAAAATGTTCATAGGTATCGAGTATCCAACTCCTTTGATCTGTCCCTCTCTACAAAGATTCGAGATTTGATGATAGAGAGAAGAAAAGAAGGGAGGGGGGGTTCGAGGTGGATTTTCTTCTTGTTTCCTTATTTTAAAGCAATCATGATCCGTTTGGTAAAGATATCAATTGAATGAAACATTGAATAAAACCACAAAACCAATAAAATCTTGTTTTGGATCGTTTTTGTCATGACGCATAAATCCTCTAAAAATAACTTGCCTTTTTTGTCCATTCTTTTCTTTTGTATTTCAACTCTGAATTCAACGAACAAAAAGATAATGTCTTTCATACCTGTTTTTGGTATGACAAATCACAAATATATGCATCTTGAATTACGTTATAACTAAAAAAAATCACTTTTATGATCGTTTTAAGATATAAATATATCTTGATAAACATAGTATTATGGTTACTAATGAATTATTTGACTAGGGTAGTAAGGGAAATCCCATGCCACATGTATAAACATGTATATAATTATACACAAGTTGTTATATGTTTCCTTGTGATAACGATATGTGTTTTTCGTTATTAACCCGGTTTTGGTCAAGAGGTTAAATTTTTTTCAATGATATGTTAACATGGAAAACATATGTTAAATGGATTAAATGGGTCAATTCCTTAAGATGTAACGAAACAAGACTCCTATGATCAGTGGCGGACGCAGGATTTCTCGGTAGGGGGTGCACGGGAAAGTAAGGGGTTGCACGATAGTAGAAAAAATAAAATTTTTAAAAATTTTCGAAAATTTTTCCACTACGGCCGGAAAAGTTAGGGGTTGCCGGTGTCACCGGTGACCACCCCTAAATCCGCCCCTGCCTATGATAAGAGTGAATGTGTTACAACTTACAACCTTATTGTAAAACATAATACAAACTCACACATTTAACATTAATATCCAACTAGACATGTTCAAAAATTCTATATCATCCAAAATGCAATTAGAACTTACTCCTTATCTTTTTGTAAGGGTGAGCATATTAACCAATAACTCAAACCGAAAACCAATATAACAGAACCACTACTAAAAACAATGTGCAATTTTAATTTTGATTAACCGTAAAGGCGGATACATATGATTCAGTTATGGTTTTTTGTAAAACTGAACCACTAAAAACCGAACCTATAGTATTAATGAATATATATATATATATATATATATATATATATATTATATATATCTATATATATATATATATATATATATATATATATATATATATATATATATAATATGTGATGTAATTTATACAAGGAGATGATAATTGTAAGGGTAGTTTGATAGAACAAAGTGCCGATGATTTAGATGTTGTTTGTTTTTTACCTGCAGATCTTCTTGGCCTCTTCTGTCTGTGCCGTGCAGACCACGTGCAGACATTAGGCTTTGCAGACTGTTTGTTTTTTATGAAGACTGTAGACCTAAAAGGGTTTGCGTGTCCTCTTCTTGGCGCAAATGTGGACCAGAGTCTTCAAACATCTTAAGACATCTTCTAGCCTAAAAAATCAATACATCTTTGTTTTTTTTTTTTTTTAAACTTAGATTTATTTCAATTTTATCTATGATAAACAATTTAGAAAAAAATGTTACAATACTTAAAGAAAAAAAGTTCAACTACATAATCATGACATTTGTGACAAATATATAAATAATGATTTAATTACAATAAAGGTCATTAGAGTTGTTTATATAAATATGAAAAAAAAAATCTTATTATTGTTTTATATTTTTGTGACAAATTTTATAAAACATTATTTAATGCAGTATCATTCATTTCTTAGAAAAAAATATTTATGGTCATTTTTTAATTGATTTAATTGAAAAAGTAAAATGGAAATTTTGAAAAGTTTCATTTAAAATAAAAGTTTATTTCCATTTATTTTATGTGTTAAATTCTTTTATCCCTAATTGTAATGTTTAGGTATAACTTTGCGACCATAGTTTGTTGTTTTTATTAAATATATACGGTAATTTATATCATTTTATTTTCGCTTTTTATACAATAAAACATAAAAGTTGATCTATATTTGTTAATTATCTATAATACAGTCATAAAATTATTGAAAAAACTCTGTTAAGTTTTTTTTAAATCAGTTTAGTTAGATTTTAGTTTATTTCAGCAGCCCGCGGATGTTAAAAAACAAACATTATATTTCTTTTAGACTGCAGACGTTTGATCCACTTCTTCTACTGCAGAGGTATGCATATGTGGTCCGTAGACTACCAATATTTTGCCTCAGAAAAAACAAACAACACCTTAATTTAGTTAAATCGGTTTAGATTAAATGGTTTGTATAATTTGTTAATTATACAACGGTACAGACATGATGCAAGTATCCAACTGAAAGAGAGTATAAAATTTTATTGCTTATCATCTTACTCAAAGAAATTTTAGATTATGAATGGAAAGCTCTAAACATATACTATTTTTTTTTTTTTGAAATCTCTTTTTTTTCAGTTAAAGTGGCTAAATGTATATACAATTGAAACGTTTGACAAGTTTGAATTAAGATACATTCCAATCGTTACTAAGTCGTGTGTGATTGCCAATATAGAGAACATTTTGGTTGCCAAAACATTGATAGAAGTGCTTAATTAGTTAATTGAGTTTGCTTTAAGTAGGAAAAAGTTTTTTGTCTTAAATCTTGACGCACACGTTTCCTGGATCACATCCAGAAAACTTGCGAAGGGTCGAGAATTATACTAATTAATAGAGAATATTCACTTAGGGAATGAGGAGAAGGTTGAAACTTTATATAATCTATGATGTTAAGTTTTAAAGCAATGTACTTTTATAAAAATGTTTCATTTTATAAAAATGAACTTTCTGTTTTCTGTTTTATAGCAACACACTTTCTGGTGTTGTTTATACTTTATAGTAATGTACTTTCTGTTTTTCACTTTTTATAGCAATATACTTTATATTTTGAAGTCAAGTTGGACCATAATGGTTAACCAATACTAACCAATAACCGAACATCCGTAATCGATTAAAATTGATACTAACCAATACCTAATTGTTACTAAAATGCCTTAACTGGATGGTTTGGTTATGGTTCGATTTTGGCATATAACCGCCTCAAACCGACCCATACACACCCCTTCCTTTATGGGTGTGTAAAAAAACAACGCCAAAAAAAAAAACAAAAACTGCATAAAATTAGAGTCATGTTGAAAAACTGATGGTTTATTTTTTATTCAAAAATCTAAATTTTTTGGGTTGGTGTGGTTTTTTGTAATAAAACCGCAAAAGGTCGAATAAACTGAAAGATATAAAGAGATATTGTTTTTCTTTATACGCTTAATATGTCATTATTGAGAAATTTGTTAAAATATTGAAACTAACTTATTTCACTCCCCGTATTATCAACCTCATTACCAACACACATTAAGCTCGCACACATGGAGGAGCAGATGATGATTCGAATTGTCTAATTATCTTGTACTATTTTCCTAGTATTTTTAATGTCTTACTATAAAAAAGTTTCCAACATTGTTAAAGGGAGGAAAACTCACCTCGCAAACTGAACAAAAGCTAATGAGGTCTCGACTACGAATATCAGCTCTACCCGCCTCCTATTCCAACCAAATGACCAATCTCAATCAAAATCCCAAAATACCCAAAATACTCCTAAGGTCAAACTTGGTCAAACTTGGTCAAACTAGTTAAACCAACTAAGTCAACTGAGTCAACCCAACCGAGTCAACTCAGCTGAATCGACTTAGAGTGAGTACGCGGGGCGTACTTCGAAGGTACGCTGGGCATACTCGCATCCTTGCATGTTGACCGCCATCGGGGTGGTTGACCTCGTACGCAGGGCGTACTCCGAATACGCGGGGCGTACTCCTAGAAGTCCAAAAATCCAATAAGAGCTTAATGGCTAAAGCTCTTACGTCCATATTGCAGATCCATGACTAAAATACTCTTAAGAGTCGTAAAGTATCCGACTTTATGGCTTAGCATGCCCAATAAGTGCTTAACTCATGGTCTTAATCCATTAAGACCTTCTAAATGATGCATGGAGCAAAACTAACCATTTGGATTCCATTTTATGACTCTAGACCCTTCCAAAGGTCTGAAAGGACAGCTTAATGGGTCAAGAACATGATTTGTTCATGAAACACCACATTTGGGACAAGAAGAACCTAAAACTAAGCCCAACACAAGATCTACAAGAAACTACACCAAGTTCAGAACTTGATACCTCAAAATGGTACCAAAAGGTGGTGTGATCCTGGATCTAGAGAGCTTTACTCCTTCAAGGTGATCTCTTCTTCCTTCATTCTTATTCAAAATCACAAACACACACACTAAAGCTTAGAAAAGCTCCACAATAGGGATTAGGGTTGCAAAAACATATCAAAAGGGTGGAGGTTGATGAGGTGAGGGAAAATAAGGCTATAATGGGGTTTAAATATGAGTCAAACCCTAAAAATTAGGGTTTGCATGCCTGGCACGTATGCCCTACGTACCTATGTACGCCCTATGTACTATGGCGGGCCTTAGTACGCTAAGCGTACACACGTACGCATGGTGTACTCCCCAGCCTTCCTAAATTACGAAAATGCCATAAGGGCTTCCAATGCACACTCCCTTTTTCTTAGGGACCAAAATGCAACATAATTAAATTATAGGGCTAAAATTAGAAGTACCTTATCATTGGAATGTTACAATTCTCCCCCACTTGAACTAGAATTCGTCCTCGAATTCTGCCGTGGCGAAGAACTCAGGATATTGCTCCCACATCTCAGCCTCCGGCTCCCAGGTCCACTCGGAGCCTCTCCGACGCTGCCACTCTACCTTTACCAAAGGTATCTCCTTGTTGCGCAGAACCTTCATCTTCCTTTCTAGAATAGCCACTGGTATCTCAACGTAGTTCAGGCGCTCATCGACCTGAATATCATCCAAGGAAACCACTGCCTCATCGTC